GAGAACCATGAAACGTAGGGGGTAATCTGACAATTCAGTCTTGAGGCAAACATGTCAATGTTTGGCTGTCCCAGAATTCTTGTGACCTCTCTGAAAATATTTGAATCTAGTTTCCATTCAGTTGAGTCATCAAAAATCCTGGACGCCCTGTCGGCTACAATGTTATCCTTCCCCGGGATGTGACTCACTGTAATCCAGACTCCCCGTGGGATACACCACTCCCATATTTCCCTTGCCATTTGATTGCATGGCAGGGAATGGGAGCCCCCCATGTTACGGATATAAGCAACAGCAGTCGTGTTGTCGGTCAACACTTTGATGTGAGTCTGGTTTAGATTTTTACATAGAGCTTGAAGCCCAAGGTAGACCGCCTTGAGTTCAAAGCAGTTTATGTGATAGTGGGATTCTGAGGCTGACCACCTTCCCCCAGTAGTATTGCCATCCAGGCTTGCACCCCAACCTTGGGTAGATGCATCGGTATGTAGGGTTTGTGAGATTTTTCCCTTGTCAATTTTTCTTTTTGATATCAAGGCATTAGATATCTACCACAAAATATCAGATTTTGCTCTCCGGGAGAATTGCATTGGCGAGTCAAAATCACCATGAGTAGATTTCAAGGCTGCAGCCTTTTCTATTTCTATCTGGCGGAAGTACAATTCACCATAATCAACTCCTGACAGGGAGACCATCATGCCAATAAGCTGTGCAACCCCCTTGAATCCATCTTAAAATGGTGAAAAACCACAAATTTCTTTGAGGTTTAAAATCATACGGTATGTACCATCTTTCTTTGACCTTAAAAATATAAAAACCAGCGATGCACAATGTAGAGATGTTACTCTTATGGACCCATTTTTGGTTCGGGAGAAGACATCTATATTTTAAATGACGCTAACAGCAATCGACAATCTTACACTAATTGCGGCTTTACGTACTCCAAGGGGAGGGGGAGGTTTGCTCGATAGAATCTTGAACAATTATCCTTTACTGTTAGCTCCAAGCCTTTACCATTTCCTTTTCGTGTTTTTGCCACCATGATGTCTTCACACATATATTGTCCATGGATATGATTGCTATTCGATACACGTGCATCTAAAAACGTGTAGTAATGACAACAGTAGGATCAAAGGGTTCTTTTGCTTCAAGTCTCAAATTTTGACTCGCTTTTCTTCAGAGTAACTGCTCAACCGCGCGGGCTTGGAATTCATGTTTTCTATCTGATACAATATTTTCGAAGCCTGATTTACATAGTTGAATTTTTTTTTTCAGTTCTCGGATACATCTCTACATCTCTAGATCGAGTAATAGCTAAATGACTTAAATCTGTGCGTACATCTGAAGAAAGTAACTGATAACGTTGGGTAATTTAATATTTTGTCATTTTGAAAAAGATTTTGGGTTAAAATTTTGGGCCTGAGTACGAAATTAAAATTTAAAACAAATTTCACCAGGAGCCCAATAATGGGCACCCAATATTTTGCCATTTCCAATAAAGTATTTTGTACCAATTTCTATGCTCAGACTCATAAAATCTCTCCCTCTCACTCACAAACATCTAGCCTGGAAAAACTCCCCGTCTAGTCCATGAGAGAAAGTGAACCCTCCCTCTCCTCAGGGATGTTCATGTTTCCTTCCAACTCCCAACGTACGATTACTTTGTTCTTCTACTTCAGCTGGTTCTTGTGCAGGTGATTCTTCCCCCAGCAAAGCGTTCATCTTCTCTCTATATAACGTCAAAGGATACAATCCTGTGAAGCTGACACAATACAGATACCAGCAATATGTGGTACAGATGTAACACCTATGGACCCACCTTTGGCTATGAGTGTACTGCATATAATCATGATATCCACATATCCAACGACGCTCATTTTTCTCCCACAGACATCGAAGTATTCTATCAAACAGGTAATCAAGTAAAAGACACCTTTTAGGGATAAATAGTAAGAACTGTGGCAAAATCAATTCGTGGATTGAAGAAATATTCTCATAAATATGTGTTACTGGAGTACAGACAACGTATTTTTTTGTAATTTCAAAGAAATTTCTAAGTTTTTACAGTCTCCGTCGCAGCAATCCTTTAAGTTCGTCACACAACACGTTGCGTGACGAGTCTGAGAAGACCAGTCTGAGCTGCCGCGGGGTTTGGGGGTGTTACATGAAAACGAAGTTGGTGAGGCCACTTGAAAGAACGGTTGAGCTAATAGACAAGTTTTACTATCTCTATTTCTCTCTCTCTCTCTGTCTCTCTCTCTCTGTCTCTCTCTCTCTGTCTCTCTGTCTCTCTCTATCTCTCTCTCTCTCTCTCTCTCTCTCTCTCTCTCTCTCTATCTCTCTCTCTCTCTGGTGATATTGTAAGAAGAAATTCTGTCGTGGTCTGGTGAATTCTGAGTTTGGTCGTTGAATAAGAAAGTTCTATCGTCGTTAGCGTTGAAAATCTATACCAAGGATTTCCTTTTGATAAATCTTACAAGAGGAGTTTGTTAGATGCTGCCATCAATATTAAATGAGAATCAAATTTCTTCATTGCTTTCTTCCTAATAACTTACGCACACTGAAGACGTCAGTAACACGGCAAAACAAAACAAATGAAAACAAACATACCAGAAGTGCAAAAAATTAATTAATTTTCCACCAATCTTGATGCATGTGTGGTTTGTGATTAGAGAAATGTGTCAAATTTAAGTTTTGTATGGATGAGTATTTCCAAAGTTATCCATAACCCGTTTCTTCATACATACATACATTCATACATACATACATACATACATACATTCATACATACATACATCATACCAATCACTAAGAACTTTTTTCAAATAAATATTAAAATTTCGTATGAGCTGCGTGACCCGGAAAGCGCGAGGTTCATACTATTAAACATAGTTAAGTACGTAGCAAAAATTTCCAGAGTCATACATCTATGACCTACATGGAAGGTGTCATACGAATCATTCAGAACCTTTTTCAAATGTATATATTATAATTTTGCGCGAGGCACGTACTATATAACATACTAAATAGGAGTAATTTCCAGAGTCATACATCTATGACCTGTTTCCTTATAGGAAGGTGTCATACGAGTCACTCAGAACCTTTTCCAGAGTCATAAAAGGCTGCAGAAATGTTAACTTGAGGTTTTTTGTCTGTTTGAAAATTTCAAAAGGTGATTAATTTTGAGTAGCAATTATTGTCCTGCGTAATTCCCCATTGAGCAGGTAAATTATTAGGAATATATTTCCCTCCCACCTGTTAATAAGATCTGACAACCCTTCCGTTGGCGTTATTTGCAAGAGCTACACTTGTTTCCCAACACGAATCGCCAGCTAAGAAACATTTTCGGAGAAAGAGGTAAGGAACAATTTTTGGGGGCTTAGTTCTACAGATTTTCAGCTGGAGATGGTGCTACCTCCAAAGGGCGAGGCAACGCGAAGGCATATTCTCATAAAGAAAAAAAATGGAAAAATGAAAACTGTCTGTGTCTCGATGAAATCCAGAAACAATGTCAGAAAATGTGAGGAAACTTTTCTAGCAACAAGATCGAGGCGTAATTATTTTGACGAGAGAGTCAAATTAGATGGTATGTATATATTTGCTTACTCAGAAGAGTTTCTACAAATGGAACGGTTTTATTGTTTTTCACTTGCATCTCTGCCTCCCGCCTTCGCCAAATCTTGCCAGTTTTCGCGAGAAAGTTAAAGCGCGGAGTAAGATATAAAACTTGTTTCACAAGGGCTAAAAATCTACCGCAAGGACTCAAATCCCAGCGAATTCCGAAAAGAACTCGTTAATAGATGTACAACGCATTGTATCGCTCGGGCCCATGAAGCGACTTCAGTCGAAACTTCAACTTTTCAAAGTTGCGACGCCCCCAAAAA